ACAAGCATTAGCTTATCTCAACTGCTAAACGACACTTCTGATGACAGCTGGTGATAAATCCATCATGAAACTCACAGCTTATAAAACTAATTTTGGATAGTCAATTTAAGATGCATAGAAAGTCTTTTTAGTGTAACTTATCTTTCTTAATTATAGATGAAAATCCTTTTTATCCAATCGCTGGAACTCCTCTGCAATTTTTTTTATCTTTGCTTTTCATCTGACAGCTTCAAAGATGATAATGTTTCAGTCTCTGCTGAATGTCAGTGTACTCTATAGATTGTTTCCTAAGTGATAAAGCATATATAGTTTAATTTCCTACCGATATACATCTCTCCTTGCTGTTAGTGCTCTGAATGGAAAGTTCCCAACAGACTGATTTGATTAAAATGAGACGGAGCTTACCAACATGTACAGAAGCACCGTGTATAGAAACAATATGACATCCCTAGATAGAGCAAGCCGGACCCCTCTCTCTGTCTTTCTTTCTGCAGCACACACGTACTTCTGACCTGCACAGGTTGATTTCCCCTGGCCTTAAATGTGATGTCTCAATCTGTTTGGTGCCATATTAACATCGGGGAGAACACTAACCCCCCATAACACTCACGGGCAGGCCCATGTATTCTGCAGGATGTATCGTACACGTTTCCACCAGGGGCTATGCTGCTTCCTTGACAGCTTTCATTGTACACTATAATCCCATGAATATGTGAGCATGCAAGCCCATGTGTGAGCGTGAATGTGTGCAAATGCCATTTCAGCAGGGAACCAACCCCCACCGCAGGTGACATTTTTACTAGAGAAATGTCACCACAGCCATTTTCTTCCCATATGTTTGCGTGAGCATGTGTGCACGCAAGTGTGTGTGTGTTTGTTAGTGTGTCAGAATATGAATGACTGTGTGTTTGATTAGGTCTTGGCAAGCTGCAATTAATTTCAAAGGAGAGGCTTGTTATACTCCAAATATTAGAATATTGCCTTGCTTTTGTACCATTTTCCTTCTTCTTTTTATAACCCATTTTTATCCTAAACAAAAAAGCAGATAAGAGAAAAGAGGTTTATCGTTGCAAAAAACACAGAATTGGTTGTTTCATGTGTATGGAAACTAAGATGTAAGTCAAACACTTGTGGTTCAACTTCCATTCATTTTCTTGGTTATGAGAAATTGTTCTCCTCCTCTGTTGCTTTATCCTGAGCTAAGCTAACTCCTATCTCCTGGTGCAAACTTAGTAAGTATACGGTGGACACTGATCTAATAGATTATCAGAGTTGAATCAAAGCAGGTAGTCTGATTGTAGAGCTCCAGGAAGAGATACAGGTTTCTAATAGTAATCACTGTTCTTCCAGTGGCATGTTTCTGATGGTAAAGGAGGTCCACAGAAGACTGCTCTGTCTCTATTCCTGTTCACCTTGTACACCTCAGACTTCAGTACAACTCCCCTCCAGGTCATACCACCTACAGAAACACTAACGATTTTGCAGTGGTTGGCTGTATTAGTGATGGGGAGGAATGATCTGCTTCTGAATGTGAATTCAGTCCAAAGAGACGCTGATCAATTTCATAAGGAAAAGGACGTTTAGGAAGGCTGACTGTGATTTTGATATGATAACAAAGATATGATTACTGATTCATCCAGCACCAATTTTCCCACTTCAACATAATAGGTAGTACTGCAGCTTAATGCTGGTTTCTACTTGTGTTAAATGGAAAGAACCAGAATTATATACAAATATATATGTGAAGCCAGCATGGCAGTGCTGAATACTGCATTTCATCTCGTGACCACTTAAGGCTGGCTCAAGTCAGTGAATACGCATTTAAAATTGTTATTAAATAAATCAAATCAAATAACTGTGGCAGTTTGTGCTTCGGTTTTGATTCGAAATGCTAGCATTTCATTAGTCTGTTGCTTCAGCACTTATTAGAAGGTATCCGAACTTGTGTAATAAACTTGTACAGCCTTCCCATGTAAATATGGCTCCAAAAAAAACAACCCTCAAAAATGTGGAGTGAACAAACCAGTACATCACATGATGATGGCATGTCTATCTGCTGCTGACTGACTCTGTTTGCATCTTCCTGCACTTGTAGTTTGAGTGTAACTTAAGTCCCAAGAGAAAACAATAAACCATGAGATATTTTTAATAGTTTAGAGATATTGCATTAATACCATTATGTTTGTTTGTTCATTTATTTATTTAGCAGCAGTAATCTTGTTGTAAAAAATTGTTCTTGTGAAAGCCCCACTAAACACCTTAAGGAAAGGTATTTCACAACAGAAGAAACCCTACATACTGTATGTGGTAGGGGGCTCATAGTTGGTTTAAATTAGTTGTAATAGAACACAGTTTGTACACATCTATCATGAGGTAAAATAATATCAAAGTGGGGTGAAATGGCAGAAAATATATTGAGCATATAAAAAAATGTCACAGAGGCTGTGAAGAAGGTTTTGGTGTACGTGCTTTCTGATGTACACTTTGTATGAGGCTTCTGTTCAGGGGTCGATCTTATAATCATTTGTTATGTTTGTGACTATGGCTGTAAATATGTGAGCATGAATCCATCTCCTTGACAACTGAGAAGACATCTGCCATCTCCATATGGAGAGAAACAGAGAGAAAGATTCAAAGGAGGGACAAAGTAGAAAACAGAGAACACAAAATAATCAGTTAGAACAATTAAAAATTATATATTTAGATATTTTTATCTTTTTATCTTTAAAGTTTAGAGAAAGCTTCTTTTTAATTATTGGTGTTTCCCATCTTTTATTTGATACCAAAGACGAGAAATGAGAATACCACAGTACTGAGAGTTTTTGAATTTTAGACTGTAGGAAAGGGTTCGAGTTCTCAGTATTTTATGGTTTTTCTGACTAAATGGGTGTAAGTAGTATCCTGCATTAATTTCACAAAGTAAAATTTTATTGCCTCATTATAAATGTAATGGAACTGACTTGAGACACTGGGCTTGGGTCTCATCTGGTATTTGATATGAATGTCACACAGAGTTAAAATGACACGATGGCAGAGTGCCCAAATGGTTTCAGCCCATGGCACATTATTGAAGGTCCCTGGTTTGGTAAAGGCATTTATAACCCTCCTTTCTGTCTTCCTACACCTGCATCATATGTCACACATGCACAAATGTATAACAGATTAATAAACAGATAAGACCTGGTAGAAAAAATATGCACATCCAGTTGTGCTGCACACCGATTTTATGCTTGTGTCTGGTGAGCGCACACTCAAAAGCACAATGGGACAAGTGGGGTCTCTTTCTTTCTCTGCGTGTGGTAATGGACACTGCTGCTTGATGTCTGATTTTGTCCTCCATAGTCATTCATTTTCTAGCAGGAAGGACACACACATACACGCCTCTCACTCAAACTGTGGAGGAGGGGGCACTAAAAACTCATTACATGGACGATCAATATTGCACACACTTGAGAACCGAGTGTGTGTTTGCCCCCTCTACTGCATCCACAATGCACACACGTGCGCACACACATACACATACCATGCTGGCAACAATGACAGATGACTTTTGTCAGCCTGATATGTGTTACCGTGGTAACCGGTAGGTTACATTTTGGTATGTTACAGCAGAGGAGACACACACACGCATGCCAGTAGACACATTTAGATAAATGAGGCAAGGTCACGATAAAATACAGCAGCTTAATATTTGATCAAATTTGAATATTTTGAGGACTGAACTAGCGCTTAAAACCAGATCGTTTTACAGTTGCCAACACAAATGTCAATGCAACTAAACATGAAAAAAAAAAGAAAATTAATACTTACAAATACCCCCCCTGGGATCTCTGACCCTTTTTTTGTTTTGGGCAATCAGATCACAAGTGGGAAGCACTAAATACAAGTGTAAACAATCTGCAAAGTGGACTGTGATGTGATCGCTTAAACCACTTGCCAAGGTGGTCGGGGACACATTCACTGCATATCTTTTGTAATGTAATCACTAATAGGTCCCGATGCATCCCCAATAAAGATATAACAAGTAAATGCTGTTAGTGTAGGTGGGCTGGTATTATTATTATTACAGTTCATTAAGCATTTTGTTGTCTCTGCTCTTCCTCACTTGACTGTTGAGAGATGGATGTTATGACTGTGCACAATACCCTGAGACCTTCTAGTGAATGTGACCTAAAAGAAACTGCATTTAGGCATGAAGACAATCTCCTGAAGCTCAAGCCGAGCATCAGATTGGGGAAGAAAAGGTAATTTAAG